CTGGGAGAAAGAGGCCTTTGCAATTAGGTGGGGGCTATTAAACTGGCGACACTATCTAGAAGGGAGCAAGGTGTCTTTTGAAGTATGGACAGATCACAAAAACCTAGAGGCACTGAAAACTCCCTGCAAATTGTCACCAAAGCAAGTACAGTGGGCACAGTACTTTAACCATTTCAACTTCACTCTAAAGTACATACCGGGAGGAAAAAACTTCCTAGCTGATGCGCTATCGAGACTAGCGATGTGAAGGCTGACCGACTCATCAAAAAGATTCATGAGAAAAAACCCAACAAACCAAGAGATAATCCCTGACATATGCTTTTGTTTACATACAGGACCTATCCTTTTTGTAAGGGGGGCCGGATGTCAACGTTGCTAATATTGGATATTCTTGCTTTGACAAAATATGCAGAACTGTCTGGTATTTTTAGAGTTAACTTAGATGATGCTGGGAGGGGAGGAGAAAGAATGTGTGTAGGGAGTAAACAAGATAAGGCATACACGGGCTACAGAACGGAAGTGAACCTTTGCCCTTCGGGCTGATTGGAGAACATGATTTATGACTGCAAAATAGAGGAGGGGAATAGGCTGGAATGTTATGGGCAGGGGAGGAGAATTCAGATCTTGGCATCCCTCCATGCTGTGCTGACACTCAGTTACACAAAATAAAGACTTTTTTTAGGAAAACAATGCCTGGAAGTTCTTTGAAGTGTTTCATTAGTTGGAACCATGACAGAAAGTTATATTAGTTCAACTTTAGCCGTCTTCCAAAAGCAATTGAAACTATACCTGAGAGCATTGGGGACGATACCCCTTTATGGATTGCCTGTTTCATTTTCCCCTCTATTGTTGGAGAAATGAAGCCAAATGGGGATATCATATTAATAAAATAGCTCACTGAATAAGAAAAGAAAATCAGAATAGAGCTGGAAGGGACCTTAGAGATCTTCTAGTCCAACCCCCTGCTTAAGCAGGAGACCCTATACCATTTCAGACAAGTGATTGTCCAGTCTTAAAAATCTCCAGTGATGAAGCACCCACAACATTCTGATGGCACATCTGAAGCATATATGTTCATGACTACTAATGCTCTAGCAAATACCTCTATGAGGATTTATTGGACTCTCCAACCTACCAAACTTTTTTTCTTCAAGATGTTTGAAAAATAGCTAAATGGGCCTATATCATACTTCAAAATCAAGAAGCAATCTGTGGCATCAACTTCATTTACGAATGCTTCTGAGGACCAGAAACATAGGAGTGAGATTGGATACTAAAGAGTATGATCTGTGTGAGTGTATATTGAGGCTCTACCTCTCCATGCTACCACTGTTTGACTGTTTCAAACACATCCATGCTGGAGGCTCTTTTGTGAGGACACCCCAACAAGCTGTCAAAATTCCAAATGTGCCAATTGCCTATGTTTTAGCTGAAGGAATTCCAGTACAGTGATACCTTGGTATTCAACTGCTTTGAAATGCATTGAATTTGGTACTCAGTGCATTTTGTAAACATTTTGTCCCAATACTCATCATATGTTTGGTATTCAATGCACAAACTAGAACTTGTGACTCACTACATTATTTCTTATAGGAGAAATTTGTTCGGTACTCATTGTTTTTGATACTCATTGCACCTCCTGGAACCAATTAACTATGAGTGTACCGCTGTAGGTCGCAAAAACATTTTTTTCCCCTGTTGAATACAGTTGTTTGATTCTTACCAATCTCTGCTCAGTTAAATTGCTACTTAATTTTCCTTAGGTAAATAATTAAGCATAGACTGAGCATGGACTGAACTAATTTTTCAGTTTGTTCCTCATATTTGTAGAAAATTATTAGCTTACTCCATAAATTGGACAATCCTATTACAATATTCTTAATTTATATTGCAGAATCTTGCTCTGAGCTGCCAGAACTATAAAATAAAAGGAGGTATTGTAAGTTCACAGTTGCCAGTTGGTGTGTAATTTGAAATTAATCATGCCATGCTAAAAACAGATCTTTGAAAAGTATAAAATTTGTCCCTTTTTACTTGTTTTGTTATTGCCTAGAAATACCTGAGACTCAATTATTGCTGGGCTTCTTGGAACCAACCCATCATGCAATGTCCCTCTACCTGACATATACTTTCCCCTCCCCCACTCCTCCAACTAAAATGACCAGAGGGTGCAGAGGTTGACCTCTCTGTGAAAATCCAGAAGGATAGTTAGCACAAAGCAGCCCTCAAACGTGTTCCAATGCAAGTGATAAGCTAAGGTAAGACTATAAGATACTTTTCTTCAGATTAGTTTATTTTGTAATCTATTTATAAGTAGATTCTTGTCTATAATTGGCATATTTTTACTGAAATATTCTTAATAAGCATACAAAGTCAGAGGCTGTCATATGTGGAAAGATTTATTTGGAAATAGCATTTAGTTATTTAGTGGGTAAATAATTTCACTTATCAACAACCCAGTTCATTTCTCCCAGATGAAGAATGTCAATTTCCATTAAAGGCAATGAAACAAATAAAAGCTTAGCTGAAATTTTAAAAAAATGCTGTAAGTCTCTAATTCAGCAACTGATTACTTAGCTTGATGAATTTTTGTCCATTGATATTTTAGCTTATTTCATATGCAAGTTTCTTTGTGAGGACTTGTCAGTCTTATAAGGTAGACAGAAAACACAACCAGAGAACTAATTCTACTTTATCACAAGGTTGCATTATAGAATCTTGCAGATCTGAGAGTACCTGCTACCCCCCGCCCCCTTTACACCCCCAAACTAGGGAAGGTTTCTTCTGAGTCTCTTGCACTGCAAGAATTTCTCAGTTGCTCCTTTAGTTGTGTCTCTGTTGCCCTGTCTCCCAAGGCCATTCCTACATAACATTACTGGAAGGATCCCTTGTATAGCTCTGGCAATTTGTGCTATAGTATCTCAAATTGCAAACTGAAATGGATTTGTTATTTAAAAAGGTGATTACTTATCGTATATGGAGAACCATTTCATGTGAACAAATTGTCACATCAAAACAACAACATTCAGCTATGCTTTTATGGAGCTACTGCAAATAGCATATATGAATTCACACATTCAAACTTTCATGACAAGGTCTTCATAGCAATGTTCACAACAATTCTCTGTTTAATAATTCTCTAATAATAATGGGAAGGGATGAACAATTTCCACTAGAACAAACCATCTGAGCTGACTGGAAATTTGAAGAAGATATTGGAAATATCCTAAAGCAGATATTTTTTTCATACACATAAGAATTCCTGATTATTCCATATTATGACTTGTAGTGGGGAAAGAGAAGATATGGTTCTTTCTAATTTTCATTTATTCCAATAAAATATGCTTAGCTGTCTTATTGAACTGTTATTTTATCAAAATATTTCTAATTATTAAATTATTATTTTCATCTCCCTGAAGTCTTTTCTGATTTCATATGGGAGTAGTACATGATTTGCAACACCCTGTGCTTTAGAAATACCTTTCACATTTCTCAATGATAGAACTATATTAGTAAGAGCTATAGCAACTAAGTAAGCTTGCTTAAGAAACGGAGAAGACAAAATCACTCCTTCCCAGTGATTTCACTGATAAGGAACAGCAGGGCAACAAAGCAATCTGGAATAAGATAGGGCATGGAATTATAAGTCTCTTACAACCTTTCTAGCCTCTTAACTAATCTTAGCTGGATTGTGCCCACAATGTGCGAGCTTACTGATCATGAATATTTTTCTGCAATGACTCTTATGACTAAAATAGCAGGTTTCCACATTATTCTGATTAAAGGAGCAAGGAGCAAAGATCATAACAAATGATCTTTAAAATAATACATAATTGATAGCAAATACCAGGTATCATTAAATCTAAAATATTTCTTTAGATAGAGAACAAGGTGAGAAATGTTAGGGCCATATTGGCAGCTTCTCTAAAAAAATAATAATTCAAGCTTTGGAAAGGAAGTCTTGGAGAACTATGCTTAAAGAACGCTTGAACAAGAATCATTTTGGGCAGGAATCCATATGAAAGCATGCATGACAGATGATTGCCCATTTTGTTTGAATACTTCAGTGAAGGAAAATTTGTTTTCCTATAAATAATTCCCTTATTGCTATTCGGACATGATAGAGAATCTTTTCACTTTCCTCGTGTGTCATCCATCCCTTGAAGAATACTGTCATATCATCTCTGAGTCTTCTCAAGACTAAATATTCTAATTCCTTCAATCTCTTTTCATGGGACTTAATATCTAGTTTCCTTGATCATGTTCCTTGGCCATTTCTAAGCATGTTCCATGCTGCCTGAATTCCTCCAAAAGCCTAGTGTCTAGAATTTAATACAGTATCTGGGATCTGGTCAATGAAAATAAAATGGAGCAACTTTCTTTCATAATTTTAAAACAATACTTCTATTACAATATGTAGTCTAACATTGAAATTGTCTTTTTTTGAAGCAATGTCACATTGCAGACACTTAGTTTGTTATTAATTAAATATTTTTCAGAAGTATTATTACTAGGCCAGACATCCATCATTGCACACTATACATTTTGATTGCTTCAGTAAACAACTTTGTATGTTAAGTTTCAGTCAGTCAAACAGCTAAAGTGGTGTCTGGTATTATATTCCTGTGATGCAAGAAACAAGAAATCTAACATATTTTTTAGAAGAAATATTTGGACTGACATGCTCCTTAAAGTTATTTCATAGCCCTGGGCTTTATTTCATCCAATGATTTTGAACAGAAAAGTATATAATTAAAACATTGGTTTAAATGGAAACCCTACAACTGGATACCTAGGAAGTAAATTTGGTAATTGTGTTTCCTTTTCCTATTCTATTTTTCTCTGGCCTGTATGATATCCATTAACTAGTATGGCAGAAATTACAATTAATGTTATAATGAGTTTGGAAAAAATATGAAAAACCTGATTAATTTAGCATTTCACACTGTCTGTACATAATCAACCAAGTGATTATATCAGTATGTATTGTTTGGGCTTACCTTAAACTCCTCTAGGATTTTGTAACTTTTCCCATGGTATTCACAAAAGTTCTTCACTTCTTTGCATTCTGGACAGCATCCATTGTGTTCTACTTTAGTACACTTTGGGTGGATTTTGGGGCATTCTGGTTGGTCACAAACAGGCCCATCCTCGGTACAAACACATGGACAGTTGGAATGACCAGGGAAAAAACGCTCCCCAAGTTTGTATACAAAACCACTGTCATCTACACATCCTTTCCCTCGATAGTCATCAAAAATCAGATTATTATCATTATTTGAAATCTGATCACCTTCATCAGCAGGGTAGTCTTCATGATTGAAAGCAGCTGGAGTGACCAAAGAAGGAATTAGCAACAGAAATATGTAGGCTTCATGAATATGAAGAGCCATTCCCCCTCCTGAGCTTCTGAATATGGTGCTTATATCAGATATGTATGGATGCTTCCATGGAGAGGCCAATGTGATGCACTGAAAACATATATATAAAAAAGAAATTGAAACATTTTTTTTTAAAAAAATGCATTTTTCCCTACTCCTTTGTGACACTTCCATCTGCCAGGCTTTAGCTCATTAGAAAATTCTGTCTTCTATCAATTCCTAAGAGAACAAAGTAAACCAGTCCATATTTCCATCCTGTCTGCAGTAATAACAAACAGGAAAACATATACATAACCTGAATAATCTTCAAGTTGCACAGGCTCTTTTCTGTTGTGAGGAACTGTTGATTCATCTTCATTTCAATGGCATGTGCCTTGTGCATTTCAATATTGTAGTTTAAAAGTAAATAGAGCAATATTCTCACCAAATTAAAGCAATAGTGCAAAAAATTTCCTTGCCATATTTTTGATTCAAGCTTTTCTTCATATTATACATTGTTGTAACTAGAAAAGTATGAGAAAATGTTATTCACATTTGTCATTTTGCCTGTTACCCAAATAAGATGAACTGCTGCATCTTTATATTAGCCAAGTTCTTATCTAATTACCATGTTGAATATTCATATTGTAAACAATTGCAAATCAAACTTATTTTATTGGATGGCTTGCACATTTGTTTCTTATATATATAGTTGTTTTTGTTTTTGCTAATTTGCTGTAAATGATTCTTTTAAGGATGGGACTAAGATATTGCTTCCAACCCAGTTCAAGAGTCCAATACCATTCAAAATATGTGTTTTCATGAAAAATAAAATTAAAAGAGCCTTTGCATTTTAAAGAATCTTTACAATCAAATTATATTTAAGATACTAGGAAAATTAATCATTGAAGATTGCAGAATACACTGTATATTGTAATCTGTCCTTAGAACTGGTTCATGCTGGCTTTTTCTTAGCAAGACCTCCATTGTGCTCTCCAGGAGACTGACGTCACATCAAGATCCAGTAGTAGTTGCCCATATGTATCTGTGCTTATACTTGTATCTACCAGCTGATTTTTCTCCTCCTTTTACATTTTCTGTCTCTTTTTTAGGTTTCAGAAATGGCACTTCAGCAAATTATTACAAATATGATACCTTACTCACCATATGTAGTTCAAAGCCAGTAGATGTACAGAATTTCTCAGTAGGCCATGTCACTTCAGTTTATTATACATCCATATGTGCATGGAGAACCCATAATTCACACGTTTGATTTGAAATTGCAGGAAAGCCTTGCTGCTTTGTTAGACTTTATTTCTATTCTCCTGTTTTCCTATTGATTATAGTCAATAATGTACCACTCACATTGGTACATTATAATACAAAGCTTATTCTTGTATTGCTCCTCTAACCCAAGATTTGAAGAATGATATGATAGGATTCCTCTTTTTTATGAATTTGGGCAGTAAAATATCTTATAATTAAATAATTTCTAACAAAATTTATAATAAAATGCTCTAGTGTCAACTGATGTTTTGATTAATTGTATATGAAACATGCAACTACAAATTAAACAATAGCCTTGCCTATTCTGCTTGTCTGATACTATGGGATCAAATGGATTAGTGATTAATAATTATACCAGTGTGGAGATTCCAATAGCAGTAGAATATGGTTCTTATACAAACAAATGCAATATGTATGCATTATTTATATATTTGTGTTGATTTATATATTATTTCACTGCCCAACAAAAATGACTCAGAGAATAGGCAATCTTTGTATCTTACAGAACTAGTAAAATAATTTGGTTGACAAAGTAGGCTCTTAAAATGTTTCTATAAAGAAAGATTGTGCATTTCAAAGCTTGCTGTCTCATTGTTTATGCACTAAGACATGATTTCACTACAATGGTAAATTTTACTGCAAATATGAGAGCCTTTCTTACAATCATAGTATTTTATTTCCGGATGATATAAAATTGTTTAGCTTGTATTTCAGATCTGAACAGACAGTCACTTGCATTCTACAGGTAGGCTTCAGTCTGCCATACTTAAAGCTGAGGAAACTTAATTTTTTTAGCAAATTTAAAAGAAGCTATTTATTATAGGGAGAGCAGGATTCAGTCAATTTTGTCAGACATTTGGACAAAAGCAAAACCTATTTCAGAAAGTAGTGCAAGATTTCCCTGCAGTAGTTGATCATCCTAAATATTTTGCTTACAATTTATAAATATTTATTTTGATACAGAGAAAATAAATGGAATGATAATGAAGTCCCTTGATTAAAAATCAAACCAGAAACATATATAATATACATTTATTTTGTTTCTGATAGGAGATACTAAGGTACTATTAAATACTTGGGAAATCAACATCCTTTTCTCTTAAAAATGTGCACTTACCTACTCAGAGTGAATGGTAGGAAGAGTCACAAACCACAATGGATTCGTACTTCAGCAATGTAGTAGAAAAAAACTCTTCTTAATTATATTGGTAAGGGAGAATTATGAAAAAATCTTTTGTTCTAAAGCCTCCCATGTCATAGAAGAATCCCAGCAGCTACCCAAGAGATGTAAGCTTTAACCAACTGTTCAAAATTCAAAGCAATCAGTCATAAAAGGGTCTAAAGATGAGACTGCTTTATACAAAATAAGAGTCCAAAACAAAACAATAAAAACAAAAAATAAAAGTATCATTGTTCCAGGTTTTTAAAAAATCTATTTCCTTGGTTGCAGTCTTCAGGTTCATCAAAAATGGTTTTTTTTTAAATAAATCCCACCAAATCACTGTTTTCTGTATATCAGCAAAAAGGCACACAAGGGTGGAGAATATGCTATGCTTCCAGTTCCAGAAACAGCACCAGCATGCTAGAGCTCAGAGCCAATCCAGACTGAAATGCAGTCAGCAGCACCATCATGCTATGCTGCTTTCTAGAGGTTCTTCCCCAAATAAGCAATGGGGTTCTCGTGTCTCTTAATTACAATAACAACTTTCAGCAAGATTCAGTATCCTGGATAGCAGCAACCCAGCAGCTATTCCTCCGGAGGGCATTCCATCAAGCAGTTGGAAACCTTCAGCACTACGGACAGCAGCCTGTGACTCTCATTTTGCATCATGCAGGCAGAACGTGTCGCTCCTCTGAGCAGTACCCCCACCCCCCACCCCAGTCCGATGCATTTGCTCACTGGCATTAGATTTATCGTTAGGTACGTTTCTTAAGGAAAAGGTATTTTATAAAATGCCTCCCAAATGTTATCTACATCTGATGATCACCTTCATTTAAAAAAAAACCTGCTGATTTTCAAGGCATTAGGCTCAGACTGCAGGACTACGTTACAGGAAGTGGAAGTAGGTAGACTGAAGCTTTCTGCATTTACTGAATGATTTGGCAAAGGCAACAGCCAAGGCATCTGTCTGATTATTGCCTTGTTAATGCAGAATTCTTCCCCCCCCCCGAAAATTACCACATTAGCTACATATAAGTCTCAGTATATTTGTATATGCATGGATATTTTTTAATGTTATATAGAAAAATATTACCCCCCCCAAAAAAAATCTGTTTGCAGACACTGTAGTAAGTTAAATGTTTTATTATTTTCACAAAATGAGACAGTCAGTTGTAGCTTTTACTATAATAATTTGAAAAGGGGTGGGGTACGGGTTTTCTGCAGTTCATGTTTTCTATCATTAGATGTCAATATAAAGCTATTTCTCCAGGAAAATGGCAAATTGTATATATTTTGATACATATTTAAAGCCATGAAGAAAGATACAAGAGAAATAAAGTTTGAAATATTGTTTCCATTTAAGTAAAATATAGAGATTTTACTTAATATAAAATATAATTGTTTATTTCAGATGTTTATTTCAGATAAGGGCATTATAAGCCAGTTTCAGTGTTATGAGTTTTCTCTAAATAGGGGTCTCAATTCCAAATACGAATAGTGCCATCAGAACCACCTGAAATTAGATGTTCTGCCATATGATCAAATATTACACTCTGAACTTTATCTTCATGGCCCAATAAGCTGGAAAGATGTCCCGATTTCAGTTCCAACATCTTAACGGTTCCATCATTGCTTGCAAAAGCCACAATATGACCTGTAATATAAAATTAAAAAGGTTTAGAAAATGGAAAAGCAACTCTGTCAGTGAAGTGCTTGAGTTAAAAAGTTCACTTGATTTGCAACTTTCTGTATATAATGATGAACTCAGGTAATTCTGCGCTTTATTTTTTTAAAAAAGCAAGTCAAACCAGTATTAGGGGAGACTGGGGAGGGAACTCTGCCAGGAAAGTACCTTGCTGACATTTTGAGTAATGTTGTTAACATCTGCCTTGGTATTTTATTTGATGATCTCTGTGAGTACTAATGATGTAATGATTCTCCATTTCTCTTAAAAGTTAGTTTCAGACAATAATAATGAGGATCTTCTGCTTTATTGCATGAATTTTGAACTATGAGTTAGTTCTGAAAAGTTCTATCTGAATCCCCATGTCCCCCTACCAGTTAAACAAAAGCAGTAAATATTCATCCTTGTATTTGAAATACATATCATTTGCAGGCTGATTATATTTATCTTTATTTCTTGGTATCATCCAGAATGTGTTGAACCACTGTTTACATAAATGGTGAACAAACTGTCTGGAGTTGTAACAGGATGGGTAAAGGTCAACAAAATGAAGATAAATTTGGACAAGATGGAGGTACACTAAGTAAATAGCTCTACTTCAAGACATCTAGTGGAATGTATCATCAACACAATCAATTTGCTCTTCATCTTAGGAAATTCCTTCTAATAATCAATCAGAATCTGCTGTTCTATAACCTGTCCTCCACTTGAGAGTAATAAGGACAGGATTTGGCTCTCTTCCATGCATTATTCTTTCAGGTACTTGAAGAATACTATTATATTACTCTCAGTTTTGTCTTTTAATATTATATATTCCTAATTCTTTTTCAATAATGAGTTTTATTAACATTTAAAAATACAAAGCTAAAAATAATTTAATGGGAACTAAGAAAAAGAAAAAAGAGAAAAAGTGCAGGGAAAAAGAAAAAATATATAAAAAAAGCATTTCCCTTTAATTAAGAAAGTAAAACAATTTCAGTAACTACATATACTCCTCTTACGACCACAACTGAGCCCAAAATTTCTATTGTTAAACAAAACATTTGTTAAGTGAGTGTCAAGACTCCCTCTGTTCAAATTCTAAGAAAGAAAACCCCCGACTCCCTTGATTTAGAGAAGAGGTACTTTTACTAAGAATGAACTGATAGCAGCAAAAGCAAGGCAAGATCTGGGGAAAACCCACACGAAAGTTACACATTGAAAGTCACCCCAAATCCCTCCCCCCAGGATCCAAGACAGAAAAACCAATCAGCATCCAATAGGATGTTATGGGAAAGCTCCTCTGCAAGTGTTGTTTGCCTCCAGAGTCTCAGGATGGTTGGCCTTGGATAACAACTGCGCTCAGTAGCTCCACAGTCCATGAGCGCAAACCACCCTTCTACTTCTCACAGGAACATTTCCCCATCCTAAATGCCGAAACTCCCCTCTCCGTTTCCATGGCAGCTGGGAGCAAGCAAGCTGCAAAATGCATGCTGGAGATCCGGCTGACAGGCGACCATCCTAGAAAAGTGGTAGCAGGGGAGGGAAATGAGCTGAACCAGTGGCAGCACCACACAAGCCTGAGCGAGAGATGGCTGGAGCTGCAGGGCTGTTGGCTCAGCGGAAGCACCAGGATCAGCGCCAGGCTCCAGCTGGAGCTCGGCGCTGATCCTGGCGCTTCTGCTGAGCCCAGACGAAGGGCCGATCAGTTGGAATGTTGCAGCATTTCCAGGGTCTTGTGATTTACATTCAGATGCTTGGCAACTGATTCATATTTATGACCGTCACAGTGTCCTAGGGTCATGTGAAGTGACCAAAACCTGCTGCAACCATCCAGCAGACAGGGGGAATGAAAACCAAACACCCCCCACTCCACCCCCACTGGCAATCCTCAACAGAAATGCTCACAACAATGAAAACCTTGGACAGGAGGAAGAGCGCCGCCGGGTGGGCAGGCAGGTGTCTTGCTCGGCTGTGGCTTGGGGGGCACTTTTTTCAGTGCCATTGTAACTTCGAACAGTCACTAAGCGAACTGTTGTAAGTCGAGGACTACCTGTACTTTATCACTTTTTTCCTTTTTTTGTTTGGGTCATCAAGTTTTTGACACCTTGCTAGCCGACTGGTGATACTCAGATGTTGCCATATCCTAAAAGTGGTACAATGGGTGAAAAGGTTGAAAAGCCCTGATGTAGATAGTGCAGACATAATAATGTAAAGTATATTTACTAAAAGTCCATTTCCATGTACCTAAAATAATACCTTTATGAAATGTGTTACCTGAATTAGTGTTCACTTTGAGCATATCTTGTCTTGTAAGGAATACATTTCAACATTTTATAGTCTACATACAGAGGGTAAACCACAAGAAACCTCCAGCAAGGACAGGAACACAGGCCTTCTATATTACAGACTCTTCTTTAAGGGAAAATCATCTATGATTACTGAAGACCAATTGTTCATATTCTTCTCTCTAAATTTTTAATCCAGTATTGTTGTCTATTTTTCTCAGCTATAAGGACACTTTTTAGTTTTCACCTTTTGTCTAAATCTATGTGTCACAGTTGGCTGGGTTCATACAATTTATTAAGTGAAAACTAAACAAACCACAATAGTTTGCTGCTGTTGCTAGGCTGTAAAATGCAGTAAAAATAAAAATACTTTGAACATTAGGAAACAAATCAATCTAATGTTTAGTAAAAAAAGTGCCTACAATATTTTTAGAAATCCATGAATAGTTTCTGAAAGATGAGGACACATACTGTACACTACAGTTTTCACTTACAATCTGAGGTGGACTGCTCAAGGTAATTTTCCCATCTTGAAACAAGATAATTAAAAGCTTCTATATTAATGATTCCTTAAAAAGAGCCACCTAGTCTAATGTGTGGCATTTGTGAAACCAAATTACCTATAGTAAAAGGAATACATCTTGTCTTTGTGACATAAATTTACATTTTTTCCAGTATTACTTTTAAATATCCATTTAAAAGTCTCTCTAATTGACACTTCTTGACTGAATGTTTCTTGGAGGATTTTCAACTGAAATAACCTATTGGTTTGCCTATGCACTGTTATGTGATATATTGTTGTTCAGTCGCTAAGTCGTGTCCAACTCTTCGTGACTCCATGGACTATAGCACGCCAGCCCCCCCATCCTCATTGTTTCCCTGTGTCTGCGTAAACTCATACCCACTGCATCAGTATAGTTATTGTACTGCCCTGCATACCCAGAGCACAGCTGAAGTTTCAAGTGAAAGTATTAGCTCCAATAGCTGAATTTGTGATTTTAAAAGGTTGCTGGGGCCCATTCTAATAATTGCTGGGGTGAGATTTAGTTTTGTACAACCACCATGGTCCTTCCAACTCTGTTATTCTGTTATGTTTTATTTTTAAGAAATTATGGTTCAAATGTATATCATAAGTTTGGAGTCAAGGTACGTTTGAAAGGGATACACCAGACATCCACAATATTATATTTGATTGAGATGAAAGGTAAAGGTAAAGGCGCTCTTGAGTTAAACCTCAGTTCATGATGACTTCATCCATGGCAGCATTAGAGAAGTGGTTTGTCAGTGGCTTTTTCAGGAATTATTATTTTTTAACTTCTCAGCCTACCCAACAACCCTGGAAGAATCTTATTTGAGTTGTCACCAAGACAGATTCTGTTTAGTTTCCAAAATCAGTCAATTTTAGCTAGAGGTTGTCACCTGTCAAAATGATTGAGATATTTGTACAAATAATAAAGGTATAATTAGTCTCATTTTCTGTATTTAATTACATTAGTGCATACTGTCAACAATGGAAGTGTAGCATTTTTAACTTCAATACCAAACATAACACTGTAGATTTCTGGGCTGCTCTGTTTGAAGTTTGTACCTCTAGGGTTGCAAAAGATGTAATTGTGAATGTTAGATGTCAAAGTGGGAGCTTTTTCCCAGCAACATCAAATAACTATTAAAGAAACCATTACATTCTCACATGAAAATAAATCAAAAATATTTTTTCAGATTGTTCTTAAATGTGAGAGCAAAACATTCTAGAACTGGAGGAACTAGAAGTCCTTTTTACAAATTCCTACTCTGTTATATATATTTTTGTTACCAAGTTTAATAAAGCTATTTTCAGTGATGTGTCAGAAGTTTGTAACTGCGTATTCTGGGGAAGATGAAAGTCATTTTTATGCACATCAGAACTAATTGTCAAGATTGAATTGCTAAGATACTTGCTAACCTATGTCACTATTCAACTTGCCATAGAAAGAGGGGGGAGGGAGACCCTGGGAAAGAAACGGGAGTTTCAAGAAGCCATCCATGGACTAGGAGACCCAAGGTCATAAAAAGCAGGTGTCCAACGGAGAAGTTCCCATAACTAACTGAAGAGATGTGATTGGGCAACATGGACACTTGGTGGGTGGGAGTTATGAAAAGCTATTGTTAACTAACCAGATTTTCATGCGGGAAAACTAGAGTTGATTTTGCTTCTTCAGTACTGAGATGTGTATTCAATAAAGTTTATCTTTTATGGCATTTCAAAGCTGTAAAGATTCCTCAATATTGAATTCACTAGCCAGATGGTTGATATAAAATCAACTTTCATAAAGTTATGAGTGCAGCCTACTTGAAGGCTTCCGAGAGAACTGAAGTGTAATGATGTCAGGAGCAGAAAAGAAGACCTAGACCACGGAGAAGCCAGGGCTGCTCCCCCCTTGGAAAGCATCGGCAGCAACTCAGCTGGACTACAGGGCACAACCGGTGGTGATGTGGTCCAAGGTGAGAGTGGAGAAGACAGGGAAGCTGCAGGTGTGCGCTGTGGTGGGACCTCTCTATGCTGGGAAAAAGGCCCAATGGGTGGGAGGCATGAGAAAGGCCGCTGAGATGGAATTCCCCTTGATCCCATCAGGGGTTGTGATAACCTAGGGAAGTGAGTGGAAGACCAAGAGCACTGCGGACTGAGAGGAATCAGTGGAGTAGAAGCCTCTAACCACGTCCCTC